TCCGGACGGATGCCTGGCCAGAGCTTACAATTCTTGGCCTAGTTAGAAACTCTGACAACAGACTTTTCTTTATTTTGCGGCATCTCAAGGGAAGTTTCTGTTCTCCCCCTTTTCATTGATCATCGGCGATTTAAGATGCGGCGAGACATCCATTTGATGAGAAAAGGATCAGCAGTCAGCTTTGCGCAGCCTCAAATGGTATGGCCGCCGCCGGAGGTTTCCAGATATTACAAGCAAGTAAGCAGTCTGTTGTGTCGCGGATGCCGCACTGTATCACGATGACCCGAACCGAGGAGCGCATCTTCCACCCCACCAGAAAGGTAGCCAAGCGACGCGAGCCAGGAAACCTGCATGCACAGTGAGTATGCCAAATATCGGATGGGGGGGGGGGGGCACACCATCACATCGGATGTGCCTAGTACAAGGAAAAAATGAGCAAGGGGGAAAAAAAAAAAAAAAAAAAAAAAAAAAAAAAAAACTTGGCATCCAACGCAGACCTGGTTTGATTTATCTTCAGAGTGACACTCCACTGCGGTGGGTTCGTGAGCCTGGCTGTCAGTTTGAACCATGTAAAGAAAAAAAAAGTAGATGAATAAGAAAGAATTGAGGCAGACAAGCTGGCAAAGCAAAAGCAACACTTCGAAGCGGGGCCGATTGTCCCTCCACTTCATGCTGCCGGGTGTCAGCCCTGGCCGACCGCCGATGACATCCGGGAGCTTCGGGAATGACCCCTCACATATCAAGAGCATCCATTGGACTAAAGCGTCTGGTTCAATGATGGCATTGGTCGCGTGTGCTGCGGAGATCAGGAAGACCCCGACGTGGTTGAGACTGTTTGGTCGTGAGATCAGCAGGCGGATGTGCTGGAAGCAAGCAAATGCGCAACGTAAACGCTGCAGCCATGTCTCGGGCGCTCGCTCGATGTCATAAAGATCGTGGTATGATGCTCGAGCTAAGAGCGGGCGCCACGAAGCCACCGAACCATGGCGTAACAGAGTCTCAGCCGGTGACACCGCCTCGTGGGGGTCAGTGGCGGACAATCTGCGGTCGGTTGGGCTGCTCGACGCCAAGCGCAGCCGCCTCCATGGACAATGTCCCTGATCGCAAGATGTAAGTAAGACGCAGATGATTCATTCCCCAGAAGCCACCATGATCTTTACCTATTGCCATAATGACAGCGACCCTTCCACGTGAGCATCAACTTCCGGATGGGATGAGGCAGGCTGCGACCAGAGGTGTGCTGCCGAACAAAGAACACCACCATGTGACTCAAGGCGGGTTTTGCTCCGTGCCACTGGTTTCCGTTCGATGGTCGGGCATTTATCTGTTGGCTCGCCGCCACGCGCCACAACGACACAGGCCGACTTGAGGATAGACCAAGCTGGGCATCTGCAAGCGGTCTATCGAAAGGAAAGGGGT